TTTTGTTTAACAAACCAAGTTGAGTGAAAGTGCCTTGCTTAAGACCTCGCAGTGACTGTGTGGCAAGGTAAGATTTGAACCAGCCACCACCCACATCACAGCTCATTCTCTTGACTGCTGTGGCTGTCCCATAATTCCCTTAAGCTTTTAATTACAGTGCACAGAAACTCTCCGTTTACCTTCCTCCTCTACAAAAGACAGTCAGTTGAGACATTTGTATTTGCTCTATTACTCATAGGTTTCCAATGCACTAGAGGGAAGCACCCATTCTACATCACTAATATGTGCCAGAAACCCCACAATGGCAGCAAAGTTTATATTCCCACACCTGACTGCACAAAGAAAACTTGGCAAAGAACATTCATTGTGATGACAAATCAAAAGTCTGAGATCTTCGTTTGTTCCCATTGGCAAGCACAGACCTGAAGCTGAAAATATATCTTATGGGTTTATTAATCATTCATAACTAGGAAACAGATTCCATTAAACTAGGTGTGTGCAGTGAGAATGAGGATATAGAACTCAAACGTTCCAGGAAATCAGGTACCCTAGAAATGAGAAGTCCTGGAGCACAGGTATGACATGGTTTTACCATCCTGTGACCCTGCAAGCATGTAGGAGGGCTGTGTGTATTCTACATTTCTATAGGACCACAGGGGGGTCCAAAAGGGGATGGGAGAATGTGACACTAACAACCAACACCAAGATGAAGGTCTAGCAGGCTTGCATGTTGAGTCTGCTGCTTTATGGAAATGAGATGTGGGCAACTTACAACCAACAGGAGTCTTGCACATGTGCTGTGTTGGGAAGATTTTAGTTGGCACACGGCAGGACAGAGGCTCTAACAAAGATGTGCCCCCCAAGCCCATATTTCCAGCATGTTCACACTCCTGTCTCAGTGACGTCTGCACAGAATGGAAGATGGCAGGATTCCCAAGGATGTGCTCTATGTGGAGCTGTCTTCAGGCACCAGGCCTGTTGGCAGACCAGCTCTGCATTGCAAAGATGTCTGCAAATGTGACATGAAGGCTGGCAGCATCACCCCCACTTTGTGGGAATCCCTTGCAGATCATCACAGAGCCTGGAGACAGAGAGATCAGGTTGTTCATCCATAGCAGTGAGCAGAGGAGGAAAGGCTGCTGGGAGGAGCACAGAGAAAAGCAATGTCCCAGCTGCAACAAAACACGTCACTCCCACACTGGCCTCTACAGGCACAGTAACCTTCCAACAGTTTGACTTCACACTCAAAGGCACACTCCTCTATTGTTTCCTGAGACAGACAGATCCCAGTGGGGGGCAGGGGGCAGAATTTTGCATCAGGCACAGAAAACTGCCTAAGAATTGCAGGTGTTTTTCTTTGAAAGCAAGTTTCTAGCTCCTGTTGCTGTGTAGATATGCTTGACAGTCTGTAGCAGGGGCGCAGTACTGCTTGTCAGCGCCCAGGGCAGGTGCGAGGGCACGTGGTGCTGGCGGGTGCAAAGCACACTCACCCAGCCCTCGCTGCGGATGCTGCAGGCAGGCACTCGCTTGCTCGCCAGGTGATCTTCACCCTCTGTGCTCTCCAGGCCTCGCTGCCAGCAGGGAACAACAGGATCTCAGGGGTGGGGGCACCAGGTTCGCACCCCCCAATTGTGCACCCGGGGCAGTGGCCCCCCTGGCCCTCCATGCTACTCCACTGGTCTGTAGGCAATGCTGACTGAAATCTCAGAAGCTGTAAATTGATAATGTTGTTGGATCCAAAGGTTGCTTTCTTTCAACAGGAGTTTTTTCTATTGGAAGGATTCCTTCCATCTGTAGAAAGACTATATGTTAAAGGAAGGGAGCTTTTGGATTCAACCCAGGAGAATTATGATTATAATTGAATGTGTGTTCCACCTTTCTCTAATGCACTCAAGGCCTCTTCTAGGAACAGCAGCTGCTCCCTTGAAGTTGAGGGGCAAGGCATCTGTGCCTTTCGCTGCTCCTCAACCCTCCCAATGACTAGCAAAACCATAATCAACTTAGGCAGAATAAGAGACATCTGTTCTTGGTGAAGAACCTGGATGGCCTTTGCACATAATTTAAACTTTTTTTAGGGAACAGAGCTCTGATTTTGAGGCAAATCCTAACCGACTAATGATTATTTATTTTCTGATGGGAATGCTCAGAGGTACTCTTGTTTTCCAAACATCCCAGGGCTAAACTCTCGCACTGAAAACACATTCTAAGACAATGCGCCCTAAGCAGCAGAAAGCAGCAGGAATCTCCTTCCTGCGTGAGGGGGGCCAGTCGCAAGCTTCCAAGAAGGGAAGAGGTGCAGTTTGCTACCGTTGGCAGACATGGCCATAAGAGAAAGGGAAAGGCTGACAGGGGATTCACAGCATTAATTGCTTTACGTCTGATGGCCGAGGGGCCAAAGGCATCCCTCAGAAGAATGAAAAGTTCTAGCTCCACCACTAGCTCTGCAGGGAATATGCAGGGTTAGGGAAACGGGACATGGGGACAGTTAGACATGTGCAATTTTTCTCTTCTTAGACTCTCTAGATCCTTATTCAGCCCTAACATAATATGATTGGCTATACCACCCACAAACCAGAACTGGGGAAGTGCCCAGTTCCTGAAACTTGATGCCACATTTGTAATTATATAGCAAGTGTCACCTATTATTCCCTTAAAGCCTTCACCCATGTCTTAAGGACCAAACATTGTCATGAAAAGAAATTGCATTTGCCTCTGCACCAGCTCTTCCTGTCTCCCCCCACCCCTGACACAGTTCTTCACAGTACAGGGAGATGGGTTGAACCAAACAGTTCAACCACAATAAAACAGAGCACCAAGCTTTTGCCCAACTTCCACGGCACAGGAGGCCCTGTCATCCTCTATACTGATTTTTTCCTCTATGAAGGTCACCATAAGGCCTGCAGTGGAAGTGTATGTCAGACCCAGATGCTTTTCAATGGGGAGGAGCTGAGACACAGACAAGGCCTATCTGCTGCCGGCAGAATAGCCGGCCTTGGAAGCTTTTGCAGATGTTGTGAAATTTCAGTAGACCTGCACTGGCTATTTTAATTAAGATCAGAGCAGGCTACTATCCAGCTGAGGCAAGGTGGTGAAATAAGACAAAGGAAAATAGGATTAGAAAACCAAAAGGGCAGCAAGAAGGTAGCAGCCAGTGGTGAGAGCAAAACTGCTCAAATTAGCAAGCCTGTCCTTTATATGTATAGGAAGCTTTTGCTAGGAGACTGCATTGACATGGATGCTTTCATAGTCCTCTTTGGTCAGGAGCTGCCATTGCAGCTGCTCTCCCAAGAGCAGTGTCACCACTACCTACCAGAACAGTGAAGGGTGAGGAGCTCACTTGGCACTCACACCACTGCATCCGTGCAGCGCCAACCTTGCCACAGCTGCCCTGCCCCATCCTGCCTTGCCCACAGCCACTGTCCAGAGGGCAGCAATGTGACACCGTCCCACTGCTGATGCTTTGAGGCAAAGACAAGTGGCAGCCTAAAGATAGGATGCCTTCCTTATCTCTTAAGTCCCCAATCCACAACCTCCAGTGGTTGCCCTGTTTCTATTATCTTTTTACAGAAGAAAGAGGCTGGTCTTTCTCAGGTTTTCTGCTGCAGCAAACTTTAGATTTCCTATTAACTTCCAAAATGCCAGAGATCCCAACCACACCTTAGACAATGAAGCTGAAGTATCTTTCTGCATCAACAGTGTACACAAATCTTTCTAGCACTGGAATTCTAATAGTTTGAGTAATATGAACATGGTAAACAGGTAGCAATACATAGTTGTGGTGATATCGCCCTTTTAAGACTGGTTTATGGGAATAGGTTAGACTGAACCTCAGAAACAATTAGCTTACATGCAGCTGTCTCCCATTAAGGCTTCAGGGCTGGTGTCACAGGTAATTGGGTGGAAGAGGTGAATGCCCATGGTCTAAGTCCCCCATAAAAGCTGAGTTGGTGGGAGCTCTCAGCATCCAGCCAAGCTGAGGTCAACATCTATTTGGGCTTTTGACAGCATCTTGTTCCATTGCTCAGCTTACTGAGATTTAAGTGTAAGCCTTTATGTTAATTAGCTGGATAAGTTACTATTTGTTGTTTTCTTACCTTCTGAGCTATTTTAATCTGTGTAATTATTTTGAGTTTTTCCTCTCTTGTAGAGTTTTGTTTTAGTAAAGTCTGTGTATGATTTTATAGAATTTGGTCTGGTCTGAGTTCTTGAACCCTTTACTTTTGACCATATTTTTTGGAGCAAAGATCATCCACCACAATACTCTGAGAGACTTTATTTTATCTAAGATTATTTACTCCATAAAGATGATAGGGCAGAGTTTAAGCAAAATTAAAACATTTGTTGCTTATGCATGACTTCAGGAATTATCTAGCTGTTGGAATGTTTTTCTAGGTGAAAATATCATTTTCTGCAACCAGATATGTTTTTAATCTCCTCTGTAAGGAAAGAGGAGAGTAAATCTGTATTGTTGCTTCCTAGGTGAGTTGGCATGGGTTACTGGGCTACCCTTAACAGCCATTGCTCAAGCCAAAATACTGCTTTCTGTATTTGTTGATGAAATATAGCAATTTGGCTTGGAAGAAGAGGATGTAACTCGAGTAGAACAGCTAAGTTGGGATAAGGGATGCATTTGTGGATGTATGTGTGCATGTGTGAAATGAGAATTGTAAAAGCTTCATCCTAGCACTCATATTTTAAATTGTAAGGCCCCCACCCTTGTGTGTTCACTGTATGAATGGGCTCCACTCAGTGACTGTTGCAATGTGACAACGCTGATGGCTCCATTCCTGCCTTGGGAGTCTTTGCTTAGTAAAAGCCCAAGGCATAAGCCACTCCGCATGCTTAAGCATCTTGCCAGCACCTGCACCAACGGATGGATGTTCCGGGGGCAGGGCCAGCATCACAGCTCCACTCAACAGCCCTTATGTGGAGCCCTCTTCCCTTGGACTAAATGCTAGAAGGATGCATAAAGAAAACACAACAGACCAAAGCCCAACAATGTATATCACAGGTTAATTTTATTTGGAATGTTACTTAGGCCTGTTCAGGCACTTTCTTTACCTTTTACATTGACTAGGTATGTAAAAGCAAACATAGATGTTCTTTGGCTTAGGATAAATACTAAAAAAGATGATAATGCCTCAGAAATTAAGAGCAACAAAGAGTATTTTTCCAGGCTACAGTTTTTCAAGGTATCAAGACTGAACAATAGTCTAACTTGGCTATTACTCTAAGCGCCTTCATTACGTACACATATATTTAACAGTTGGAGTTTAAAAGGAATGATATCCTCAAGGCTGGAGAGTATCCAAAAGATATGGAGCTCAGTTGTCACCACCACACAAAGCCACCAGAATACTTTCATAATCACCTTTTGTTTCATCCTAGATGTGGAAGAACAAAGAAGAATCATGTTATGTGTCCAAGAAAACAGTCTACTACTGCTAGACATAATATAATGAAGTACAGTAATAAGAAGAGCTTTCCTGCTATGCTCACACAATACCTTTCCCCTCTGACCTCTTCATGTGATGTTTTAGATCCAGAACATCACGAGGAGGCTACATGAGTAGAGGAAGAGCCCTGCTACAAGGGGCCCCTCTTCAGCTCATGGAGGACAGCAGGGACGCTGATGGAGGGCTGACTTCAATAATGTGAACAAACAAGTGGCTGGAGAGGGCTTGTTTCCATGGGGCTGATGGCAGCTTCACAAAGAGGAAAGTGTCCTGGCTCATCCTGAGTTCATGGCACTGAACATACATCATTGCTAATGCTGCTCCACTGAAAGCAATGGAGTATTCTCCCAAGTTTGGAGGGGTGGAGATTCTGGAGCTATATTGAGAGACTGTACCCAAGCTGTGAAAATCGTATTGTAGCCCAGCCAGTAACAGCTAAGAAGGAAGGACTGCTAGGTTTCTTAAACAGGGCTACTCAGAATGCAGTGCATACCTACAAGATGCAGTTGTGTGACATCGAAGGGAGTCTTACAGCAAAACCCTGTGTGCATCTATTCAGAAGCAAGTCCCACTGAGTTCAATGGGACTTCTAGATAAATGTGCCTAGATTGCAGCCTTGATGCTACATAACTGTTTGGAAGCCCCAAAAGTAGTTTGTCAACAGGAATAGATAAATATATATACATAAACAAGTCAGGATCTACATTTGCAAGCCAACCTGTCAGAGCTCCAGACCTAACTCTTTAGCCACTCAATCAAGTTTAGTGCAATTTAAGTTTACTGCACTTTTAAAAAGTTACATACCAAGATGGCCTGGCAGAGGGATTTGCCATACATTGACTTGTAGAATCCTTTGATCTCATTCATGTCAATCTCAGAACGTGACACCATGATCCTGTTCAGAGTTCTGTGGCGTGTTCCAGAACCCTGTTAAAAATAAATGGAAGTAAATTCACTATATACTGTAGTCCGTTGGCAGATGAGGCCAGCACCACCCTAAGGCTAAACAAGTGGCTGGTCAGTGCCTGGATAGGTCACTGCCTGGGAGTCACATGTCTGCCTCCCAGTGTTCCATGACAGGGTGAAAAGAGGACTATAAATGTAATTAAATAAATAAAACTTTAATATAGGCATTTTGATTGTAGTTGGCTTAGCGCTGCTTGCCAGACTTTCCTGGTTCTATCACCGCAGCTCTTAAAAGGATAAAGGGCATTCACTGCAGGCAAACAAATGTTCCTGCATATTTATTTTTCAAAATGGTGTTATGAACACATTGTAACATCAGTTTTTAAAGTGAAGGTGCAAGAACATTTGCTTCTCTGCAGTGAATAATGTCCTTTGGCCGTATCCTTTGAATAAACTACTGGCACCCCACCCGCATCCCCCAAAGCCCCGTTTCAGAGCTCCCCACATGCTAGCGCTAACATTGGGGTGGGAGGGATTCACCAAATGTTCTCTGGAAGTAGTAGAATTCCAGAACAGGCCCAGGATCACCAATAATTTCTCGTTCTCTTTGATAAATTTCAGCTCAACTAGGACTGGAGCCACAGCTGTTCCAGACATTGTCAACTTGATTCACATGTCAGAAGCTGGGAGGGGGACTATTTTGATCAATATTCTCAGGGTGCGGGGATACATAAAAATGTCGTGTGTGTGTGTGTGTGTGTGTGTGTGTGTGTGTACACACACACACACACACACACACACACATTACTTGCCTAAGTAATATACTATATTATATTGGGCCGGTCCTATTGGGAATGCTCCACTGATTAAATTACCCCCTTCATCATAAAGAGGGCCAGACCTTGGGCTTCCTTGCCTAGGGACTCTGATTTTAGCCTACCCCTTTAGAGCAAAAGTTCTGCCACTAAAGTATATTTTACCTTCATTGCCAAGTGGAGCTTTTCCGCAAAGAAAGCTGGCTTGCTTGTGGCACATTTCACTGGAAATCAAACAGAACTGTGATTATTTATGACAGCAAAATAACAAACAAGATATGAGGGGAAGAACAGATACAGATTCTGAAGACTTCAAACTCAATGGGCTTTAGTCACCATTGGGAGTTAATTAAACACAAATTGCAAGCCTTGGGTGCCTTGACAGAAAGGTGATACGTAAATGCAAATAAATAATAATAATAATAATAATAATAATAATAATAATAGTCTCCGCACACCTACACCCACTGCATCCTCCATGAAATTTTTTAGGCAAGTAATGTGAATTTCACAAATCACTATATACAGTCAGGCTGAGCTCAGTTGGACTTACTTCTGAGTAGACAGGATCACACTATTGTTCGCCTAATAATACTTTTTATATAAGGGGGGACAGAACTAAGAAACAGAGTTTTAACTATGGAACAGGGTCACATACCAATTGCTGTCAGGCAATTCTCAATGTCTCCCTTCAGCTCCAGGTCCAAAGCCTTGTTCATGTCATGCTTGCTGTACTTGGTGTATTTCTGGAAAACTGAAAACAAGGGTGTGAGGGGAAATGTAAGGCTGTGCTTGCCATGAGATATGCAATTTTCATGCAAGTTCTGTGAATGCTGACAGCACAATGTCCTATGTTACTCTTTCAAAACAGCTTTTGTTACTTTAGAAGCAGCCAACTGTAGTGTGGAAATGCAGACTTATTAACAAAGCTGTGGGGGCTCCTCTGTTTATCCTTAAGCAGTCACTATTTTGCACTTTGCTGTTATGCTTTGTCCTCACAGAACACCAAAGCGGCTGAAGCAATTCCTGACTGAAGTACAGCATTAAATGGCTTTCTACCTACCTCTTCGGAGGTGTGGCATGCTTCTTGTAGTGAGGATATCAATGAAAGCATCAATATTAGTCCCCTTTCTTCTTTCTCCAGCCTCATACAAGGCCTGTGGGAATAAATTAGATTATGTAGTGTGGGAGTCCGAAATATTGTGTATAATCCGATTCAGTCAAAAGCAAACAACTGCACAGCAGAATTTAATCTGCAGGTCAAATGATTTTCTGTCCATTCTGTAAATTGACAGTACCTTAGGATTCCTGCAGTTAAGTGAACCACAGAATCACATATACACTATGGCTGAGAGCTGGTGGAATGGAAGGAGTTGCTTATTTCCTTGTTGACCATTTCCCCACTCGTATAACTCTCTCTCTCTCTCTCTCTCTCTCTCTCTCTCCCCCCCACACACACACACCCTTACCCTTGTTTGCACCTAATGCTAAGCCATGCTGTGCCCAGGTAGAAACTTATGGCATGTGGCCTAGAACACTCTTCTCCCCCCCGCCCCCCGCCATGAATGAACTCCTGGGGCACAAAGGCTACACAGAAGGGAAGGGACCCAGCCCTGCCTCACATCAGATCACCGCAGGCCTGTGCCTCAGTCAGGCCCAGCCCTGCCTTTCCTCCAAGACTTGGTGGAGGTCTGTTTAATGGGGGGGGTCATGTGGAACCTAGTTCTTTCCGTTACATTCTAGGGTTGCCATACATCCAGAATTTCCTGGACATTGCCAGGATTCGGCTGTCAGAAACAGTGTCCGGGTGGAAATTGCTTTAATGTCCAGGAAAATCCAGACATAGTGCAACCCATGTTGGAAGTGTAGATTTTGGTGAACTCCCTTAAGAATAGCTCAAAAACATTTTTATTTTTTATTTTTGAGATCTTGCAAAACTAAAAAAAATCAACAACTTTTGTGTCCAGATTTTCACCTTTTGAAATATGTCAACCCTACGTTAGAACCATCTCTTTGTGAGTCCTGAGATTTTATTAATGAAAAATTAATAAATTATTTGGTGCTTTGAGGGGAGTGGCAGGATAGATAACAGAGCTCTGGCACTATGAAATAGATCTGGTGCTCTTATTAGTCCTTGGCAAGAGGGAAAAGCTTGTGCTTCTGTGGGCCTGGAGGGGAGGACATTCAGAATGTACACAAGCCTGCTCTTACCCGGGCATCATTATCGGCCAGCTCTTCATTCACATGAGGGTTTTCATCACGGTCACCCTGCAAAAGATCAAGTTCACCTGTTACCACTTTGCAGACTATAATCCTGGCTTCCTACCAGCAAACAAACATTAACTTCTAGTTCTCAAAAATTCAAATTGTGCATACCTTTGCTAGGGCAACCAAAGCCTTCTGGAAGGCTCCAGATGTATCTGAGACAATGTCTTTGGTAAGATCCCTCTTATAAGCTGCAAAAAGTACAAAGCAATTAAAATAAACCTTTGAAATCCATTTTTTAACAATAAAATATTCATTGTGGTGAGATAACTTTCTCATTCCATAGTTTACTGACTGACGTTTTACACCCAGTGACAGATTTCCATTGGAAATCCTATAGCACAGTCCTATGCATGCTTGCTTAGACACATGTCTCACTTTGTCCAGTGGGGGAGCAGAGCCTAGGAGCCCCCACCCCTGGCACTGCTAAACTTACCAGAAAAGGCTGGGGTGGCATGGCAGTGAGGTCATTTTTGAATGAGCCAATTCAAAACTCCCACGAGCACAACACCTGCGTAGCCAGTAAGTCAGGAGGGCAGCCCCACAGCCTCCTCCACCACATGAGCTGCTACTGCATAGAATCACAGCCTCAATGTGTTTTTATTTCTGTCTTTTTGCAAAGAGGACCTGCAAATGACATGTGAAGAGTCCCAGTGCTTCCTTCATTTGAGAGACTGGGGAGGGGGGGCAAGAAGAAGAGAGGGACAGGGGGAAATAGGTGTGATTTGCCTACATGATCCTTCTAACAAGGCATTTGAAAGGTAATATCACCAATTACAGAAGCATATGCATACCCAGACATTATTTTCTTGTTGGTGTGGCATAATTTTCACACACATTTTTATAGAGTTAGTGGAACGTTATCCATGTAGACAAACATTTGCAGCTTAGTAGCTGTTCAACGGCTTTGCCTCACAGTTTAAAACTGAAGGGTTGAGTGGGGAGAGGAGAGTTCAGCATATAGTCTAGTTCCCTACAAGCCATGATCACAGTGGATGGAACACTGGATTGTTAGATTGCTGTCTGTGTTCCAAGAATGGCACAAGGCCAGATACATGCATTGCTCTTAGTTCTATACCCTGAACAAAATGCAAGAAGTTGATTTTTCTATCTTAAGATACATTGACAAAGAAAGCAGCTCTGAGCATTCTATTCTCCCCCTTGCATAGCATTTTATATTGAGTTTAAACAGACAAACCCAAACACTAAATTACCTTCATTATATGCTCTGTTGTCTTCCTTGATTTCTCTGTTGTTCCTTGATGCCATAATCTCGATTAAAATGTCTTCATCAGTTCCAAGACCCTGTATGGAAGTAAGTCAATAATATGTATTCTTCTAAAATGACTTTAATCTAAAAAGTGCATAAAGGACCCAGAACAATAAAGGAACAGGTGGTATATCCAGTCAAAATCACAGCCATGTCATGCATTCACAAAAGAAGAGTTTTATCTTCAACCTTGGGGGCCAATATGTTGTTGGGCTACATCTCTCGTGATCCCCAGCCAGCTTAGCCAATGGTCAGGGATGATGGAAATTTGAGTTCAATGTCATCTGGCGACCCAAAGTCCATGGAACCTAATATATAATATCTGAAAGACTGCTGCCTTTCCTATAATCCCTCTCAGGCAGTAGGATTGGCAGAGAGGGGGCCTCTTGATAGTTCCACTGCTCTCCAAAGTTTGTGGGGCTGGCCCAAAATAGAACATTCTCTGTGCTAAGCTATTTAATCCACCACCCCAGACATCAGTCTGGCTCCTTCATTCTGTAGTTTCCATACCCTGAACTTTGGCACTGGAGATGCATACATATGTACATGTATACAGTTGTACCTTTCTCAAACAGAAGGCATTCAGGGAGTCCATTTGACTCCTGGAACCATTCAAAAACCAAGGCACGACTTCTGATTGGCTGCAGGAGTGTCCCTCATCGGATGTTCAGCTTCCGAAAATAATTCAAAAAGCAGAACAGTCACTTCTGGGTTTTGATGTTTGGGAGCCGAAACATACGAGTTCCAATGTGTTCAGCAACCAAGCTATGACCATATATATATATATATCTACTCATAATGAAATGCTGCTCCTCAATGAGGCCAAACTTAGATTCACAAAGTGTTTAGGGGTATGCGCACCCCTGCGCACTGGCGGAGGAAAGGGAGTGCAGAGGGAGTGGGCTGCCCCCAGCGCCACTATTCCAGTAGGGGGCCATGGCGACGGCCCCCCGGACACGCACTGTGCATCCCCCAACCCGGGCATCACAGCCTCACGGGCAGCGCATCATGCCCCCAGAACGCGCGTCACGCCCTCGCAGCCGGTGTACCCGGGATGGGCAGCGTGCATTCAGCTTTGCCACTGTTCCTGCGTCCCCCAGAAAAAGCACTGTATGTAAGGTAAAGGTAAAAGGTATATATTTAGGACCCATCCTGTTCTCTTGACTGTAATTTGTTCTAACTGATTTTACTACTGTATTTATAAACTATTGTAAATCACCCTGGAATCTCATGGTGAAGGGTTGGGCAACAACCACAGAGACCAGAAAGAAGAAATGGTCAGCCACAATCTACCTATGCAGTTTACACAACAATATTTCTGCCTGTAACTGACCTGTAAATGAGTGGAGCCAATGAGCTTCTTGGCCCTGCTCCACTCTCACACTTGAGGTTATACACACTTATTAGATTTGTTTTTGACTCAATAATGCTGAAGACCAGCTCTTGCTTGGGTACAAGACCCAGCTTATCCCAGTCAGCAGAGAGACCTACCTTCATGGCGTACCTGAGCTCATCAGCATCAAACTGGGCTGGAGTCTTCAGCAAACCCAGGACAACATCTTCTAGTTGGCTTTTAAGTGCTTTTTTCAAAGCATCTTCCAGGGGCTGTAACCGAAAGCACATAAGTGTAAACTACCCATTTAAAGAGTTATTTGGATTATAAAATAAATATCTAATCTACTTCCCCCCTTTGAGAACAATTCCCTCTCTGCCAAGAAGAATATTGTTCAAGCTTCAAACACTCCATATACTTGTGTCTATTAAACTTGTAATGCCATCTTAAACAGGCTCATTGCCATGTACAGAAACCTCACACATTCAGGAAAAGCCTTTTTTCCCCCACTTGAAATTGGCCATAGCTTCCTCTATACCCCATTCTCACGGGTGCTGATGGAATCTGCCTTCAGTTGTTCCTCATTCATTTATCATTCATTTATGGTTAGAAAGTGGCATGGCATTATCCCTTTCAGATTCTTTTATTAAAAAAACACAATTTAAAGAAGCCAAGGAAAGGCCCTCCGTTCAAATCAGAACCATGGTGCTGGGGGGGGGGGCAATATCCCTCCCCCATGCCAAATCTGGGACACATTGACATCCACCTCTTCAAACTATATTCTAACAACCAAAAACCATGAAGATTTTAAAATGTCGATTCCTTTTTCTAAAACAATGCATCATGATCTTCAAAATGCAAACATGTATATACAAGATAGTTCTTCAGGGTGATCCTTTATTAGCAGCTGTACCTTTCCCTTTAACTGCTGGTAGGCAGCTTTGATCTGCTGGCGTTGGGCATTGTTTCGCTTGGTCAAAATATCAATGATGGTTGCTTCATCAACTCCTGAAATGCAAAGAAGAAGTATTTGTAAGCTGTTGTATCACTGTGTGCAGATCATTTTTTCTAATTATAATACTGAGATACAAATAAAGTTTCAGCCATAACTGGCCCATGTCACTTTTTTCATGAACATTTTCAGCGGTGCTGAAAAGATGGGTTTTCACTACTCATTCTTAAGCCATTCACTTATGTTTTGTCCTTACTTGCCCTGCATTTTATAATCATGCTGCTATATATGATGTCCTATGCAGAGCTGTGAAATCAGCCCCTTCACAACACTTCATGCAAAAGAGGAAGAAACAGCAGCCAGGAGAAAATAATGACAGATTTTTAAAAGAATGTTTACAGACTATTTAAAGGGGAGAATTCTTCATTAAGGTTAGTAAAAAATGATATTTGAGTGTAGGGAAGCCATGTGTGGAAGGGGGTTCCACTGAAAATTATTGGAATAGGGAGGAGGCAGAATGGATATATATTTGGATATTTATAACTTTGTATTTGTAAAACCAAAAAAAAATGATTTTTAAAAAGTTTTTTCACAGAAACCTCTCCTGAGAAATGTTGGCTTGATCAGCTGTTACTTTCTTCATCCTAACAACCATCAGCAGAGAAAGGAGGAGACTGGGAAGAATAGGAAGTCAAACCCACTGATTTATTCAGCAATTTTGGTGTAAGATGAAACAATATTTAAACTTAATGCACACTTTTGCCAAAATTGGGTAGCCCATTTTGCTGAATATTCTCCAGGTGAAGACTGAAATTCTCCAACAATTCAGATTGGGATTAGGAAAATTTGGGGGTTTTTAACTGTAAGAAAGAAATCAACTCAGCCCTAATTTTCCACCAAACTTTGGAACTGGAGACTATCCAGCCAGAGGCTAAAGTTTGTAGGAAAACCTCACACATACCAGCCAGATAAAGGAGGATCTTTGAATCCCATGATGGACATACCAGAACAATTTAGAAGACTGGGGTAACAAATTGGATGAAAAATCAGTTTCTATTGACAACCTTGGAAAAAGGACTGGTGATCTAATCTGGTCTTCAAAATAGTATTCCTCACTATATTAGGGGCATGTCGATGGAGGACAGTTTCAAACTGCTTCCACGTGCATGATGAACAGGCCCATCTTACCTTTAGCTGTTATGGCCTTATCCAGGGCGGCAGCATCAGCAGATGGATTGAAGCTAGGATAAGAATGAACTGCAGAGCCACTTTTTGTATTTTTCTAAATGAAACAAAAGGAGTGAATGAGAAACTTACATTTACATTAATTTTCTATCCTCTGAGGTTCAGGATGAATTGCATTTAGAACCAGGTAATTGAAGTATAAATTACCAAAAGATGCAAAATAATATATATATAGCATGCTACAGTTATTCCATTGACATATTGCCCCTACATTTTCAATGAGAATTAAGGCTTGGATCTAAGGGACAATTATGAGTAACAAGGATAGCATTGCCATATGTCTGGACATAATAATAGTAATAATAATAATAATAATAATAATAATAATAATAATAAATTTTATTTATATCCCGCCCTCCCCAGCCGAAGCCGGGCTCAGGGCGGCTAACAACAATAAAACAGTACAAAAGTACAGCATAAACAACACTCTAAAATCATTCATTATAAAATTAATTAATTCAAGCCACTGGCAACCATTGGGCCAGAGCTCCGCGAAGATTGCCGAGGGAGGGAGTCAGGCTGTGCCCTGGCCAAAGGCCTGGTGGAACAGCTCTGTCTTGCAGGCCCTGCGGAAAGATGTCAAGTCCCGCAGGGCCCTGGTCTCTTGTGACAGAGTGTTCCACCAGATCGGAGCCACGGCCAAAAAAGCCCTGGCTCTAGTTGAGGCCAGCCTAACTTCTCTGTGGCTTGGGACCTTCAAGATGTTTTTATTTGCAGACCGTAGGTTCCTCTGTGGGACATACCAGGAGAGGCGGTCCCGTAGGTACGAGGGTCCTAGGCCGTATAGGGCTTTAAAGGTTAAAACCAGCACCTTAAACCTGACCCTGTACTCCACCGGGAGCCAGTGCAGCTGTTAGAGCACCGGGTGAATATGATCTCGCAGCGAAGACCCCGTAAGGAGTCTCGCTGCAGCATTCTGCACCCGCTGGAGTTTCTGGGTCAGTCTCAAGGGCAGCCCCACGTAGAGCGAGTTACAATAATCCAGTCTGGAGGTGACCGTCGCGTGGATCACAGTGGCTAGGTCAGGGCGAGAGAGGTAAGGAGCCAACTGCTTAGCTTGGCGGAGATGGAAAAATGCCGCCTTTGTTATAGCTGCAATCTGCGCCTCCGTGGAAAGGGAGGTGTTGAAGATTACACCCAAACTCTTAACGGACGGTGCTGGCACTAATTGCGCCCCCGCAAGAGATGGGAGTTGCCCCCCCAATCCCATATCGTCCCGTCCCAGCCACAGGACCTCTGTCTTTGAAGGATTTAGCTTCAACCGGCTCCCACGTAACCATCCAGCCACAGCTTCCAAACATCTGGTCAGTGTGTCTGGGGCCGAGTCAGGATGGCCATCCATCAACAGATAGAGTTGGGTGTCATCGACATACTGATGGCAACCCAGCCCAAAACTCTGAGCAAGCTGGGCGAGGGGGCACATAAAGATGTTGAAAAGCATCGGGGAGAGTATCGCACCCTGAGGCACTCCACACACCAAGGAGTGGCGCGATGACAATTCCCCCCCAAGCGCCACCCTCTGTCCCCGACCAGAGAGAAACGAGCGCAGCCATTGAAGGACTGTGCCCTGGATCCCCACGTCGGCAAGGCGGTGGTCCAGAAGTTCGTGATCGACCATGTCAAAAGCTGCTGACAGATCTAGAAGAATCAGCAGCCCCGACCCGCCTCCATCCAGCTGTCTACGAAGATCATCTGTTAGGGCAACCAGAGCCGTCTCGGTCCCATGACCAGCGCGGAAGCCGGACTGGAATGGATCCAGAGCCGATATACTGAATACTGAATACTGCTGTCTCTAGCAGTGTCTGGGCAGAAATCAGTAAAATGTCTGGGAAATTCCAGGTGTATGGCTGCCCATGTTGCCTGTTGCTTTTTAATTTTCCATTAAAAAGAAGCTCAAAAATGGCCTGGGGAAAGTGACCTGAAGCTTAGACCCTGCTCTACAACTGAAGGCTCCCTGTATAATGTAGAAGCATGATCATGTACAAAGAACCTACATGCACAGAACAACCTTTTCCCTTCAGATGTCTTCTCTCTTCCCATGCATAGAAGGTGGCAAAGACAGGCAAATAGGGACATGACAAAGGGGGTGTGGCCAACAAGTGATGGACAGCGCATGAAAGGGGCTCTTGCTTAAGCAGCAATAGTGCTTGTTAATAACACTGGGGCTCTTATAGGAAGACACTTTGACATGCCACACCCATGTTCTGAAATCTATTTGTGTTGACACCCTAATACGAAGTCATTCTCTGACTATGAAAGAAAATCCTCCCACAGGCCAAAAGGTATCACCCACACAAAGAGGGATGTATTTGCAAACTTAGGGAAACCCCAAGATTTGCAAAAGTATAAAATATATTTAAGGGAAAACACCCCAATGAAGACTGAGCATTGTTTAGTGGATATAGACCAATGGCTGCCTGATGCTGGCAGTGGGAGTGGGATAATGCATTCTGGGAAATGGTACAGACGGCTGGCTGGCAGGAATCCTGAACAGCAGCATATTCCACATTGGAACATTTTGTTGCAGACCCCGTGTGATTAACTCTGTCTTCTACTTTTCTTTTTTTATGCACATAAAAAAAAATCTTACCACGTATTGTGGTTCATCATTTTCAATAAACCAGGCCTGTTTCAGAAACTCTTGCACAAAAGCCATGTTGTTTCAAGGTTCTGCAGGGAGAAAGCAAGGATTATAATGAAATGTTACAGCAGTCTCTTTTCATGCTTTCTAAGGTTAATAATCATCTATATTGTCAGGGCTTTCTGAAAGCCATGAAAAGAGATTAATGTTTCCCAACAGCCCTCTGAAGCAAATGAGACTATGACATTCTCATTCTATACCGGGAGGAGGGTGACTAGGTCAAAAAGATCACATATGCGTCTCACATGCTGATTTTAGCATTGGCACAAAGGGATAGGTGGAGGGGTCAAATTCTGTTTCTCTCAATTTCTCATTTTTCCAATCTTAAATTCAGTTCTCAGTTTAGAAAATTCATCAGTTTAGAAAATTCATCAGCATTTGGGTGAGAATTTCTCCTAATGTTACATTTTTTAGCATGATTTTTTTGCCCAATATACACATTTTTGCAAAGCAATTTTTTGTAGTATGATGCATGTTTTGTATTTTATTTTTACTAATATATACATTTATATGCACAGTTTACTCCAGTACATGCAATTTTGTACACATCACACAGCTAAGAACTACATTGCAAAATTCAGAGTAATGCTGATTTGGAAGGATGGCTGTGTTTTAGTTCACTGAATTTTGTATGATTGCCTTTAAATACAAACTGAATTGAATTTCTCCCCCATCCCTTCTTGGCAGTGCTACTTCCATAGAGGAAGTGCCCAGCCCAAACATAGCATATGAGTCACACACCACTTCTAAGATGAAGCGAGAGAGGCAGAAGGAAACCAGGGGTTCACTAAAAGAGACCCATGGGCCGCCAGAAGGCCATCCCCAAGCTGGATCTTCATTAGGGACACAAACAAGGCATATTCAGAGAAGGCCCATTGAAATCAATGGGCAAAAGTTAGTTATAACCACCATTAGTCCATTGGTTTAATTAGTCCATTGGTTTAATTAGGTATAGTCCTGGCATGATTTGATCAGATACAACCCATAGTATATTCTTATTTCTCACACACACACACCATATCACTAGAGGTTGGGGAGGCAGTAATAGGGTGGTAAAACAATCCTCAGCTTCATGCAACAGAGGAGGAACTCAGACTCAGAACCACCAAGTTGGGCTGAGATAAGATTTGAGAGGTTAAGAAATCAAGATTCAATGCTTTTAATCTTCTTGGTTCAATCACAATTCCATTCAGATATTATTTCAGCAAAGTCCTTCTTTTAGTGTTATTTATTTTGGTACTTTGTGAAAGACTAATTTCCCATTGAATTCCAAAAATAGGACAGCTAGAAAGTTTGTCACCAGTGGCCTACTTGGAGGGCTTTCCAGTGATGCAAAGTTTGCAGGAAGTAAGTAGGATGTATCCAGGGACTGGCCAGGAAGGTACCACCCAATAACCTTTTATATCTCATCTTTGTGGTGGTTTTCACACGACAGTTTATTCCATTTCCCCAGTCCCCTAAGTGTTAATCTCCATGTTATGTTCCAGAAGACCACAGGAGTCAACTCCTTGGGGCCGAGGTCCTTTTGCCCCCCCATAAAATATTTGAGGGGGGCCGCCCCCCACAAAGTTAATGGGCATTGCCCTGTACCAAACAAAGAAGAGTGGCTAACTCAATTGATGGACTATGCCAAAATGGCAAAATGGGTGGGTGTAATAAGAAACCAAGAGGAAAACAAAATATTAAAAAGTGGGGAACATCTGAAAAATTCTGGCATGCAAGTAAGTTCATTAGTAGGGTTAACTTAAATCAAGTAGTTAAAATTATCATTAAGAGAAAAGGAAGAATAACTCAAAAATGGAGTAAAGTGGAAAATGCAGTGTTAAAATTTTAAATTAGAAAAGAAACCACAAAAGTGGGAGAGGGAAGTCAAATATATAATTGTACTGGATGTATGTGTTTGCAAGGTGTGTACCTGTAAACTTTTGAAAACTGAAAACAAAAATATATATAAAGTTAATGAGCATTGCCATTCAAATGGTGTGCATGTGTCACATCTTGCTAGGCACCCCCAATATTTTATTCAAGTTGCCACCCCTGCAGAACACATACAGTAAAGGCCACTTCTGGAAATCTAGTGGAATACGGTGGAAGCTCAGCACTCATTTCCATGTTAATCCATTTGCAAGCCCATTAACCCAGAAAATTGTGAGAATAAAATGGGGCTAGACAATGTACCACCAGTATATAGGTCTTTCCTGCTATTTTCATGAGTGAATCAGACGGGAATCACTGGTGAAATTTAGCTCAACATGCTGGTATATCAGTCAATAGCCATGGCTCCATAGTACTGCCATGTGAAAGGAATGTTAGAAAATAGAACAGAAGTGCTAGCAATCAGGAAAACTAATGCAATGCTCTGCATGTCTGGATGCCTCCTGTGCCACCAGCTAGCCTAGAAGTTGCTCTAGATGCTTTGCAGTTTATGCAAGACAGCTGCCCTCAGTACAGGGTTGGCACACAAATCCAGCTAGTTAGATGTATAAAACCAAGAGTTCCAAAGCCATGTTTTGGGGATCATTGCAAAAAACCAGAGTTCACATGCAATACTTGCATAACAAGAGGAATAATCCTGTGTCTACAAAAATGTAACCTGATGCAAAGGCCTAAGTATATTTCAAAGAGCTTCTTTTGCAACATTCCAACATGTTTACTAAGAAATAAATCATATGATGTTTAATGCCACTTTCTCAAAAGTAGGCATACACCAGATCAAGTATATCAAAGTACTCTTACAAGGACACAGCTATTTTTGGCATTTCATGTCCCATAGGCAATCTCCCCTCATGCCCAGAATGGATCAAAATCTTGAAAAACTTGTCCCTTGACTCAAAAGAACTACCAAGCAGAAAGAAACAGCCCCACCCTCTTTTGAAAGCAGTTGTGGAAAGTATGAACAGACCAGGGGTGAGATTCTGCAGCTCTTACTCATACATACACCCTCAGGAGGAGCCGTCTGCAATTTTAAAAAAGGAAGGAGACTAATTACTGGCTCCCCTGCCTTCTTTCTTGAAGGAGAGCTCACATTTTAATTTCATACCTAGGTAATGTTTGCAAGAAGTGACAACTCGGCTGTTATTAAAACAGTTAAGCAACGTCATAACCACAGGGTGCATGTTTTTCAAAAAAAGTTTCCATACAAGGAAGTCACATTTCCCCCCTCTTAACTCACTCTTTTGTGGTTAAAAATAATTCAGTTTTCCATGGTCACACACATCCACACAAAAGCCAGTCCTAAAAGAGCTAGTTTTAGACAAACTAAAAAAATAAACCTGCATTGGCAGCTTTAGAAGTGTTGCTGCTTTTTCACAATTCCCCCCCCCCCGAAAAAAATACAGCAAGCAAACAACTTTTTTAAACAGACTACAGCCTTGTTCCTAAGCACATTTCGTTGAAAATAAGTATTTAATACCTGAAAGTAAATTTGCACAGGATGTCATCCCATAAGTTACACATTTCTACAACTAACAAGCAGTAAAGAGCAAGGAATGAAGAAGCCATACCTTTTGATTTCCAAACTCAGAAAGACTCTTTCGCTCTGGAAAACTACAGACTGGAAGGATCAGACTGTGACTTGTGGTTTTTATAAAGCTACCAGGAAGCCACACCTAGCAACCAATGCTTACTTCTACAACTCATATGATTGGTTGCTTGGTGGGGGAAGGCTAAGAATCTAGGCAAAACTCACACCCAAACATTTTGGAAACAAACTGTCCACTGCAGTGAAGAAACAGATCAGTGAGCTAATGCTGAAACTGCTAGAACCAGATGAATAACTGAGATGGCTGAATGCTGAGACATTGAAGTCAATGGAGTTAAGAATTAAGCTGCAAATTAGACACTCTTAACTTTTCAAAAATTAACACATTACTCAAACTGGTAACCCGTTTAGGATTGCGATGTCAAAGTCAGTTTCTTTTTTGTACTGTTAAAAGCAGTTTACAAAGACAGCCATTACTGTCATGGTTCATGTACCCAAATGAGCACAGAAATATGCCATATGCATGCACACTCTGCCATAGGCTGGTTCACACCATCCTGTTCCAGGATGGACCTGCACTGTACATAGTATCATGAACATCTCTGCACATTCCTTCGGCTTTCATCTGAAAATTTGTTCACATTTCTAAAACTTCCTTCAGAAACAGCCACCAGCTGCTACATGCATGTCTGGCTCAAGGCATCCACCCATTATGATTTTCATAAATAAAGAAGAATATTGATGATTGGTAGGCTGTTACCTGGGACACAGGTGGCGCTGTGGGTTAAACCACAGAGCCTAGGACTTGCCGATCAGAAGGTCAGCGGTTCGAATCCCCACGAAGGGGTGAGCTCCCATTTCTCGGTCCCTGCTCCTGCCAACCTAGCAGTTCGAAAGCACATCAAAGTGCAAGTAGATAAATAGGTACCACTCCGGCGGGAAGGTGAACGGCGTTTCTGTGCGCTGCTCTGGTTTCACCAGAAGCGGCTTAGTCATGCCGGCCACATGACCCAGAAGCTGTACGCCAGCTCCCTCGGCCAGTAAAGCGAGATGAGCGCCGCAACCTCAGAGTCGGCCACGACTGGACCTAATGATCAGGGGTCCCTTTACCTTTAAGCCACCACCAAGTGCTTCATTCAGCCCTTCCTCTGGAAAAGATCCAGCCAGTGTGGGTTGTGAGCACAGGCATAGAGTCAAATGCAAACAAGATGCTGGACACCTGAATGAATAGACTGGACAGATTAATGGGTAGGGGAGAAACATTTTTACTAGAATGACTTTTCATTAAATAATCCCCTCTCAACGAGAATGATCCATATGTTTGATGTTACTGAGGAAATCAGCTGATGGACAGGAGGGCAGGGAACAAGGTGGCACAGCAGGAATTTAATCCTTATTTATCAGCTGAGCAGGATTAAAGCCCTGTGCTAAAGCACCCTTTGAAGCAGTTTGCTCACTTGCTTGAACTGGTCAACAATGGCCACTCATTGGTGGGCAAGGTTCGCGACCTAGCGCCAGCCCTGCCATCCTCTTGAAGGCACACCACTCCGCTGGCTGTTGCTCCGCTCCCTTGGTCACAGCGATGCTTGCTGGGGTTCCTGCCAAACCCCAAATTCAAATTTGACCTATCCGCGGCAGTTTCGGGGGCGGGGCAAGAGGAGTGGCCCATGTTGGAGCAGGCTTCACTCCGGTCCACTCCTAAAGTGGGAAAGAGGGCCAGAGCTGATGCCAGAAGAGCAGTCGGCCCCCAGAGCCCACCCAGCCTTCCCTCTAATTTTATCCTTCTTTACAGGCTAACCTTTCTCCTTTCCAGGTCCATGGGCATTACTACAGTCGGACGATGGTTGCTGTTTTTCTCAGAGCCAGGAAGGAATTTCCCCTGCTCTGCAGGTTTTGCCTTCCCCATAGCAATTGTCACAACTTTGGCAGTTTTAGGCCTTGGGTGGAATCCTTTAGTCTAACAATCAAAGAAGGGGTGATGTGGTGACTCACCCCTTTTGTGGCGGCAATATCAGGGTTCCCCATTAGAGGGTTCTGAGTGGAGTCTCTGGCCGCTGTGTGCTCACAGCGGTGGGCTGTAGAACTCCCCTCAGCAATGTGGAAGGGGGCCAGCTGTGTAAATGCATGTTTTGCAATGTCCCCATATTCCCAATTGACCCTGTCTTGCCTCAGACCCCCAGTAAGGGGCTGAGAGGGACACACGCTCAATGCCTAAGCCAGGCATGGCCAAACCTGGCCCTCCAGCTGTTTGGGGACAATTCCCACCATCCCTGACCACTTGTCCTATTAGCTAGGGATGATGGGAGTCAAAACAGCTGGAGGGCCAAGTTTGGCCATGCCTAGTCTAATCCCAAATATGTTGTCATGTCTACTCCTTGATCCTGAGGTATGGCTCCTTGGGGGGGGGGGCTGTGCCTGGGCACGCAATTACATCATTGGCAATGGAATAGCTTTTGCTATGTATATTACCTGAATTATTTGAAGTCTTTCTTCAGCTTTCTGTACTGGATATATAAAGGTACTTTCAGGTGTTTACACCTTTCAGGCTGTGGTGAATGCATGTACAGTGGTACCTCAGGTTACATACGCTTCAGGTTACAGACTCTGCTAACCCAGAAATAGTGCTTCAGGTTAAGAAATTTGCTTCAGGATGAGATCAGAAATCGTGCTCCGGCGGCAGGAGGCCCCATTAGCTAAAGTGGTGCTTCAGGTTAAGAACAGTTTCAGGTTAAGAATGGACCTCCGGAATGAATTAAGTACTTAACTTGCAGGGCAGCAGCTGAAGAAGGAGAAAAAGGGTTTTCTTGTGTGTGTGTGTGTTTCTTTGTGGCTGATTAGCTGCTCTCCCTGTGCAAAGGTCAGAGGGGGCAGGGTTTCTGTTGAGGCAGGTGATTAGCTGTGGGAGGAGCTTATCAGAGCTTGCAGGGCAGTGGCGCGCGCAGTTTGATCCATCTTTTAGATTTAGGGGAGCTAGTCTCAAACGTTTGTTGGGGGAGACCAAGGTTTTTTTGGGGGGGGAGTTATTTGTCCTGTCTTCATGCTTTTTATGATGGAGGACCGCTGTAGGCACCCCCAACGACACGTTCTCAAGATGGAGGGTGAGGGAACAGCTGCAGTCGCCTGCTGTTCCTGTGCAATGTTTGCCATCTTGCCAAAGGTTGCAGGCAGCTTTACCTGCAGCAATTGCATGTTGATTGCCCTCTTAGAAGACAAAGTCCAGCAACTGGAGGAACGTGTAGCTACGCTCCAAAGAATTAGAGAGCTGGAGCTCTTCTTGGAAGCAAAAGAGCACACCGTCTCCACCAAGGAGGAGACAGGGGACTCCCCTGAGAAGGAGGCTAGTTCACCAACACAGGAGCCGGATATATGGAGAAACGTGACTCAAAGAAGTAGGAGGCCCAGGGTTCGCTCTGATTGTTTAGAAATACACAATCGCTTTGAGGTCCTCTCCCCTAGCATGGAAGACGAAGAGCAGACTCCATTTGAGGATCTCTCCCTCATTACAGTCGATCAGGTATATGAAGACGAGCAGCAAAGTCAGTCCTCAGGGAATGTGCAGGCGACCTTGGAATGGACAGCTCACGGAAGAACCCTGACCAGACCTAAGAGGAGGCGTGTAGTGGTGATAAGGATTCCCTACTGAGGGGAACAGAAGCAGTGATCTGTGGGCCTGACAAGATGTCTCGGGAAGTGTGCTGTCTCCCCGGGGCTAAGATCCAAGATGTAACTGAACGACTGCAAGGAATCATAAAACCCACTGACAAATACCCCTTCCTCTTGGTTCATGTGGGAACCAATGACACTGCAAGCAATAGCCTCCAGAAGATCAAAAGAGACTACGAGGCTCTGGGCAGGAAATTGAAGCAATTAAATGCACAAATTGTCATCTCATCTGTCCTCCCAGTTGAACGATGTGGCCCAGGGAGAGAGGGGAAAATAGTGGAAGTGAACAGCTGGCTTCGCAAATGGTGTAAACAGGAACGGTTTGGATTCTTAGATCACGGACTGCAGTTTCTTGAAGATGGACTTCTGGCAAGCGATGGGCTGCACCTCACAACGGTTGGGAGGAATGTTTTTGCCAAAAATCTCAGAAACCTCATCAGGAGGGCTTTAAACTGACTAATGTGGGGGAGGCAGACAGTGCTCCTGAAGGTAGGAGTCAATCAATTGATGAAGATGATCATCCAAATGTCATAGACCAAATGGAGCAAACAGCACACAGACCTAGTGGTGGGAGGAAAAAATCCTTAAATAAGAAACACGGGGGAATGATTAATGGACTTCAGTGTCTGTACACTAATGCGCAAAGCATGGGAAATAAACAAGATGAGCTTGAGCTCTTGGTACAGCAAACTAAATATGACATAATAGGCATAACTGAAACCTGGTGGGATAAGTCCCACAATTGGAATGTAACAATGGAGGCATACAATCTATTTCAGAGAAACAGACCAGACAAGAAAGGAGGAGTGGCATTATATGTCAGGGATGTGTATACCTGTGAAGAGATCCAAAGGCCTGGAAACGATGCCTTATGAGGAACGGCTAAGGGAGCTGGGCATGTTTAGCCTGGAGAAGAGGAGGTTAAGGGGTGATATGATAGCCATGTTCAAATATATAAAAGGATGTCACATAGAGGAGGGAGAAAGGTTGTTTTCTGCTGCTCCAGAGAAGCGGACACGGAGCAATGGATCCAAACTACAAGAAAGAAGATTCCACCTAAACATTAGGAAGAACTTCCTGACAGTAAGAGCTGTTCGACAGTGGAATTTGCTGCCAAGGAGTGTGGTGGAGTCTCCTTCTTTGGAGGTCTTTAAGCAGAGGCTTGACAACCATATGTCAGGAGTGCTCTGATGGTGTTTCCTGCTTGGCAGGGGGTTGGACTCGATGGCCCTTGTGGTCTCTTCCAACTCTATGATTCTATGATTCTAACCCGAGGTACCACTGTACTCAATAATTGTTGCATGCTACAGGTGTACACAATGATACCATCTGATCCCCATCTGATGAAGCGGGACTTCTTGTGGTGGTGGAAGGAACTGCCATCTGGAAGCAAGCATGTTCTGGATAAGTGTGCCTTTGCCAACCTAGTGCCTTCCAGAAGTTTTGGAACA